TCTCCCGCTGCGTGCGAATGAATGAATGTTGTTGTTGTTGTTGTTGTTGTGGTGGTGCCGGTGGTGAGCATGTTCGCCGTAGTCGTCGTCAATGCCGTAGCAGTGGCTGTGCCAGTCGCAGTTCTGGTGGTGATGGTGCTGGCAAGGGGTGTCGGGATAGGAGGAATCGTCTACAAGAGTGATATTCTTGTTGTCGCGGATAGGCTCTGAAACGGACGTGCTGACAGGCATGCCGTGTTGCACACTTGTGGGGTGACGGCCGGCGCCTCGGTTTTCGCTCCGTGCCTACAGCTTGACTTGGCTTACGGCGGTTCCTCGGCCAGTTGCTGTTACTTCCGATTGCCGGGTACCTGTGGCAGAAGTTCACCTCCAAGGCCTGACAAAGCTGTGGCTTGTAGCTTGGTCTCAAGTTTTGTGACCTGGCCGGGCCTTTTTGCACCTGGCGAAGAGGTGGCGAGTCAAAATCTTTCCTCCCTGCTGGCCGTGCTCTGGACGTACAGGAGGATGCGCTTGATGCTTCAGAGGAAGGCATGCCACACTGGAGCGAGATGAAACTGCCAGACAGGACGGACTTTCGTGGCTTCATGAAGAGCCACCGCGCTGCCATTCAGAAGGGCAAGGAATCTGGTGACTATGTTCCTGGCGTGATGAACTACTACAGCCTCATGTCGGACAGCTTCCGAAACGGGGCTTGAAGAAGACAGTTGCCGAAGCCGTACATGCTAGTCACGGTGGTGAGACAGCATTTGTTAGATCGCAGGATTTGATCACCCTCACCAGCGGTCCCTTTTGGCATTTCGTCCCCATGATCAAGGGCCTTTCCCGTGACGTGCCTCCCTCAGACAGTGCAGGTTGAGTTTTGCCGAGAAGTGGCACAAGCCCGCGAAGGAGAGCCACGTGCGTTTCCACCACACTTTGTCGCAGTACTTGGGCGCAGGCCGGTCAAACTGTGACATTATCCACATGCCAACGGACTGTTGTGCATTCTGTTAGGCAAAGATGACAAGGTCTTGGAGTCCACGTCTCAGAAGATTCGGAAGCACGCTGCTGGTTGGTTTCATTCAAGAAGTTTTGTGACGCGCTTCTGTGAGGATTGGGTGTGGCTACGGCGAGATGGGGCGTCAGGTTGCAAAGATCTCTGGTGCCAGTGCACCTTGAAGATTCAGACAACAACATGGCGCGGGCTGTAACAGCAATTTGACTTCTGTCATCCTGGGATACTCAAGCAGATGCTATTCGGTGTTCAAGCATGTGCAAAGCCCGGAGAGGTCCCAAAGCCGCACGGCGTGCATTGCAGCATATTGCAGCAACTGTCGCCTCTTCTCAAGGTAACAGGCTTGACCATGGCAGATGCAGAGATTGAGGGTGGCAACCTTCGGATCAAGGCGGCGGGACTCTGAAATCTGGGCTCACGAGGGACAGCGGCTGCCTTTCAGGAAGCAGGCCTTGATGACCGATGCAAGATTGCAGAGCCCCCAGCCCGTGACGTACCCGCATAGTTCCGCTTGCCTTGCGAGCCTTTCCCGAGGTCCAAGGGAATTACCACAAGACCGAATTTCAGGATCGGGGGGCTGCACGGACGTGACGTAGCTTTCCTTCTGTGAAAGAGCCACCATCAGGACGCTAGCTTCGACAAAGTCTTCGGAGTTTACACTTTGAAGTACTCCTCCAACCTTGAGGCGGTATTTGCAGAGGCCGGCTTTGCCAGTCGCGACTTGGAGTCCTCCGTGCGTTTCTTGAGCAGATGGCACGGCTTTTGAAGCCCGGTGGCAAGTTCCTGTCCTACGAGATTCTTGCGCCTTGTCTTTATTGTGGTTTTGCATCTCTGTTCAGCTCTGTGATAGGCCCGCCCAAGCCGCCCAAGGTCACTGACAAGTTCGATAACACGAATGCTGAGCACAGGGAATACGTGGGTGCCTCAGCACCAGAAGTCGAGGGCAAAGGAATCAAGACACAGCGCTGTGAGGTTGGCAACATTTCTACTTGCACTTGTATGCCTCCGCCGTGAGCTTACTACAGTGCCGAAAGAGACACCAGACACTCAAGCTGGGTGCACAGGCTGTGGCCTGCGGAGGCCATGCGCAGCGCTGCCAAAAAAGCTGGTCTAGTGCCGGTGGTGGAAGAGGCAGCCTGCTTATGACGCAGGGGCTGTCCTGACTCGTTCCGGTCGAAGTCATCAGATCACCGACTCCCAGACCCCAGATTTCCAAGTCTTGTGGAAGGACATTGGGGCAGTGGCGACGGCACGTCCTTGGTACACCTGCTTCACCAATGGCGTTTACCAGATCTTGGCCAGACGCCCGAGATGGTACTGCCGCATCATGCAGCATCCATGTCCGTGTTAACTGCTGGCTGCTAGAGTTGTTACAAGTCAAAAGTGCGGCAAGCCTGTGACAGACCTGGGGTATAGCTCCAGAATACTGGAAAGCATGCGATGTATGCAAAGATATGGCGGCAAGCAGTCATCTTATCGATGAGCTCAACAATTCAAAGCCGTTGTCAATGCTAGTGGAACTACGAGCATGATCCTGGTGGTGATCATAATGACAGTTACATGTTCGTTTCAAGGTCTGCCCTCTGCTGCTGCCTTTCTTCCGGGGTGCCGAGGCTCGAAAACTTGGTTTTGAAAGATACCTTGCAAGTTCGCATGACTTTTGGTGCTGGCCCCGCGAGACGCTGCGCTTGCTACCACCAGCCTTCAGCGATTGGTTTGAAAATCTGCTTGCCGAGACCCTAGACTGACAGGTGTCAAGCTTGTTTGACAAAAGCCACCTTGCCCGTGGTGTCTCACAGGTCCATCCGACCGTTGACTTCGTTCGCGCCGGCAGGCGCTGCTCAGCACGCTTCCGTTGCGATGTCTTCGTCGAAGAATCATGAGGCTTGGAATCATCAGCGGCACCGTCGTCATGACTTGGCAAAAGCCGTAGTCTGTACAGAGTCGGTGTGATGGGCCAGTAAATAGCATCTTGGGCTGCTTCTTGGGTTTTCGGAGCTTTGGCAGGTGTCGAAAATCCGGCTGCTGTAAAGTTATGTTCAGCGCAGGCTTTCTGCTACAGTCTCTGCAGCTTTGCTAATTCAGTTTATGCCATGACCGCCCACCTGAAGAGGTGGAGCTTCAGCGACAGACCAGCTTTTTAATAGCTGATGCAAGATTGCTCTGGATGCGCGCAGTGGCCTTCGTGTGTTGAGCGGTTGGCTCGCATGAAGCCGAGAAAAGACAGACTCAAGGAGCTTGCTCGTGCTTGATATGCTGTGTATCAGGCGGGTATCCATGATTTCGCGCGTATGACTACAGACATACGGATTACCGTTCTGTGTACTGTTGCCACGGTTCTTGTCCCCTTTATGAGTATTGCTGTGTAAATGCAGTCAACTCGGTGGATATTCCGGCTGCATGATGCAGGAAGCTGAAACCATGGCCATGGCGTACAAGCCTGAGGCACGACTGACTGGAAGGTGTTTTTGCCTTTGTGTTGATTGTTTGCGGTGATTGCTGTCGTCTGTTTTTGTTGACACTGCTTCGGGTCAGTTGTGGTTATGGCTGAAACGTGAAGAGTAGAATCAGTGGCTATCGCCAATTCGGCTTTTCCTTGTTGCTGGCTTTTCATGATGTCCTTATCGCATGGTACCTTCTCTGCCCGTGCCAAAACGTTGAGTTGATACGCGGTTATCTGTGCGAGGCTGGAGTCGAGATGCCAGACAAGCGGGTGCTCTTTCAGGCTCCGCTGTGGTGAGGGTTGACAGATGGCTGTAACAGTAGAGTAAGTATTCTTCTTGGAATTGATAGCCTGCTGCAAAGCAATACTGCCACGCAGACGATCAGATTGCTGCAGATATTGCCACCCCATCTCTGTCTGTTCCTATCATGGCCATCACGGTCTGCATGATTTCCAAACGTGCAAAACCCAAGGGCCCAAACCCTAAGCTTGTGGGAGCCCTGTACGGTTTGCCGAGCAAGCAGAGCAGGGAAGCAACGCTAGCCAGTAGCAGCATGAGTTTAATCTAAAATAATTGTGCACTGTTTGCCCCAGGGTTTAGCGGACACTGGCCCATCCACTCGAAGTGGCGAAGCGCACACGGCCTCAGCGCCGTTTTTCGATTCGCATTGAACTGGAGCGGAGGAGCAGTTCACCTGAGTCCTTTACGTTTCATAGAGGGCTTAGGGTTTAGGGGACAAAGAACCCAAGGGCTCGGCATCCTGTCGAGCGGCTGCTCATTGACCACAGCCGCAGGGAGCAGCAGGAGGACCGGCTTTGCAGAATGCAGTAATGAGCATGGCCTGTGGTCTGTGGTCCTATGGGCGGCGCAGTGGCTAGATTTCGCTGTGACAGTTTCTGCAGACTTCATGTCTCTGCACGGCAGGAGATGAGGAACAAGGCTTTGGTGAGCCCAAGTCGAGATGGAAGAACGGTAGATAGGCAGTTGACAAAGCTGTCGCTGATGAGCCTTGGACTTGACACTGTCGGCCCCATGCAGGCATAGCCTTAGCAACCGAAAACTAGTCGCACAGCGAGAGCGCTCCACAAAATACAAGCGCCTGATTGTTTCGTATGTCACCAGAAGCCAGCACTCCTGACAACTTGTCTGGGTAATGGCACGAAGCCATGGCCAAAGCAATGCCATGGATGCGAATTCCGAGGCAGAAGAGATCTGCATTGGATGCTCACTTCAGCATTTGGATATTTCTCTCGTGCTGGTCTGCGGTCACCGATTGTGCCTCCAATGCGCTTGGCGAGAGTTGCAGGCATCGAGATACACCAGCGCTCGCTGCCCACGCTGTTCGTCCGTGACAAAGGTAGATTCAAGAGCTGCGGAACAGATCCGGGAATTTATGCGCAATGCATCGCCCCACCCAAGTCCTTCTCCCGCAAACGTGTTTCAGCGGGACTATTGCGTTCTGCCAAAGTTAGCAGAGCGCTGGAAGCGACCGGATCCAGGCATCCGTAGCATGCGATTGACGCCGCCATCACGGGGATCTAACCAAAGCCCCGAAATGTCAACAGTTTCACCGACCACTCCCCCTGCTGAACAGCCGGACGAGCTTGCAGATGGAGCGATTTGTGGCCAGTGCCAAGGCAATCGTGCTGACGTTCGTTGTCGCCAATGCAACGAGATCTTCTGCAGCGCGTGCTCGGCGCGAATGCACAAAGCAGGCCGAATGCGGGAGCACAATCTAGTGCCAGTCAAAGCGCTTTTGCCTGATCGAGTCCTTGTTGCCCGTGACAGCAGTGAAAGTGCTGCAAGTCCTCAACTGGGCGTGGAGTCAAGCACGCCCACGACGTGTCCCGTGCATGCAGGCGAGCCTCTCCAATTCTTCTGTCTGACTTGCGTGGAATGCATTTGCGCAGAATGTGTGATTCATCTGGGTTCCGCCCATCACAACCATGAAGTCGTGAACGTACGGGTTGCCTTCCAGCAGCTCTCACAGCCCATCAAACAGGCATTGGAGACAGCCGCAGCTCGCCTTCAGGCAAGTCCAAAAAGGAGGCAGTCAGAGCTGCTTCCCTTGGAGGATGCTTTCAGCAAGATGAAGCTTGACGTTGTAAATACTTTTGAATCCTTATTCTCTTCTTTGAAGAACAAAGAGGAGGAGCTTGTGAGTGGAGCTAACGATTGCGGCCGCCTCCTCGACACGACCATGCTGGCGAAGGCCCGGGACTACGAGGCACAGCTTGCTGAGCTGGGTCGCCTTCAGGCTATGTTGGATGCTCTCGCTGACGGCCAAACGGTCATGGACGAAGTCCAACGACTTAACCTTTATGTTGCAGTCAAGGATGGCTTGGCCTCGTTGCCATTACGTGTCTTGACGCAGAGAGGTAAGGCAGATTGAGTCGGAGATCGTCATGCTAGAGCGGCATTAAGGGCGTTGGAAGTTGGAAGACGAGCTAATGGTACTCCTGACTCCTCGTTGAGCTTGGAACAATTCAGATAACTCGAGTTACATTTGGATGTCATAGTTTTGCTTCGGGCCCGTGGCTTGGTGACTTGGCGGGCTGGAGCACCTGTTAATCGAAAGTAGAGGCCTGGAAAACTTCGACAAGACGTCATGATCAATGCTTTGAGCTGTTGTATCAACGATCACCCTGCTCACCCATTGAGTCATCAACAAATGAGGGTTGTTCTAAAGGTCCTTGT